ACGATTATATGAAATTTTACATATATTAAAATAATATTTAGTTACATGTAAATGGTGTTATTTATTAAAAAAATATAAACTTATAGGAATGGATACAAGACGAGAACATATAATTCGAAAACAAACATTATCTGAATTATTTCTCGTACAAAAAAACATGATCATATATAATTGTTATGAGACATGGTTATAAAGTTAAATTCACTTTCAACTTTCAAATATAAAACTATGAGTATGATACGGGGACATGTAATTTAAATTGCTAAATTTAATTTCCACTTTCCTATTTATTTCAAATATTAAGACATGATATGACGGGTACAAGAAGATAACGTATACTTTGGATAACAAAACTACAATAAATCCATGTATTAAAAAAATAGAAATACCTAAATCTTTAAAAAACAAAAAGGCTAAAACATGAATCTTTGAATTGAAGAAAGTAATGAGAAATAAAGATGAAACGGAAAGATCAATAAAATTAAAAATCGAACAAGGATTGTGTATGATAGGATTACAGACAGTCAGTGGCGGAGCCAGAAATTTTTATCATAGGGGTCATATATATTTAGTTATATTTATTTATCACACTAATATTAAAATATATATTTAAAGTATAAATTTTTGTTTAAATGGTATAGAAAAAAAAATATTTTTCACAAAAAAACATATACATATATAATTATATCAAGGAAAATATTTTTTTAGTAATTTTTTTTTGTAGACCATTTAAACAAAATTTATATTCCTGCAGTATTTATATATATATACCTGCTGTATTTAATATGTTTCATTTAACAATGAAAACTACATGTAGTTCACCTTTTTTATTTTATATCAGCTGTGTTAAGTACTTTTTATTCTCAAAATATATATTTTTGTCAAAATATTAATTATATTGTACTTAAACATATGTAAGAAAAATTTGGAAAAAACTGTAAGGAAAAAAGAACAAGATGTTTAATGAAAAGAAAAAATCAATGTGTAAGAGATATACAAAATAGTTATTTTTTAAGAAAAAATGAATAAAAAGTGGAAAAGAAATTAATGTTATATAAAATATAGAAATAATGAAGGGGTCAAAGACATGAATAGTCACATAGCATGGTGGTCAATATGAAAAATTTATACTAAAACATCTAATAATATTTGATAGTTCATCTTAATAGTTAAAAAAATTTAAAATTCCATGGGGGTCAACTGACCCCCCTCCTATAACACTACCTCCGCCTCTGCGAATGAAAATGGTGGGAGCATGTGACTTAGATTGATAATTAGATTTTTATTAGTTTGATAAAAATAAATATTTAAACGAGAAATACGGGTATCCCGTCTAAATATTTTACCAAGTTTGTTATAATAAACATTGGCAAATGATTATGTTTTAAAAAGAAACGATTACGGGACAGAAATTTTATGACCGATAGAAGACGGGACGGGACGGTTCAGGACAAGACGGAAAGGGACAGGACGGGTTTTCTATTCTAAACTACACATAAAACAGTTCAAACTAAAGCGAAACCCAAATCCGATTTAACATCTCTAAGCAAACAGTGAAATATTTTGATTAGTTTAGAAAATAAACAAGTAATATCATTTATCATTTTCATTTAAATAATTTTAAAATTATATTATGTAATACAATATCTATATTTTACAACTGTGTGTCTATATATAGTTTATCAAATAAACTCATATAACAAAATTTTACCAAAATAGCATTTACTTAACAAATCGTAATTTTGTAAAAATAACTCCGCACGTACGTGCGGGTCCATCACTAGTAATTCATAAGTAACATTCGGAATACATTCATAAGAAATTTTCATATTTAGATCTTTACCAAGTTATCAACATTTCAAACATATTTCTATACTAGCTACATTAGTTTTTTTGCAATCATAAACTGCAGAAAGAATCTTAAAAGTCAAATAGAAAACAAAACAAAAAAAGAGATATTTTGGCGCTTTTTTTCTACAAAATTTTCAAACTATGAAGTATATCTTTCTTTTGCAAGATTGATTAAAACTTTATTATACTGTTGAATAATACACTACTGATGTTGCTGATATTTTTTGTTGTTGGGTCTATGGATAGGCCTATAATGGGCTTTAATAGATGATGTTAGGCCCATGGCACTTAAAAAATCTGAAAAGTGCTGTGTTTGTATGTCACAGTCGCGTCATCTGGAGACATACATTTCTCTCTGTGTCTGTGGTATCTGTTTACTTCTTCTTCTTCCTCCTTGTGTTCGTCAATCGCCGATCTCGTTGCTTCATTTTCCTGTGAGTTTTCATTTTTTTTTTCTCGTTTCAGCATATCTCATATCCGAATCTGCCATTTCTATATTTCAATTTTTGTTTACTGGATCTTTGGATCTTTATAGAGAATCGATTTTTTTCTAGGGCTTACCTTTTTTTTGTGTGTGGATATTCGTGTATGTGTAATGGCATCAAATGGTTGAGATTCGTCTGTGTTTGTTTCAGCTAGGTTGATTGGTACAAAAGTGTTCATCAAATGGTTGGAGGAGGAGTTATCCGGCAGCTTCTTAGAAGAAAACTTCAATCCCAATCAGTCGTGAGTCTTTTTTTTCCTATGGATTTCTTTTTTTTCTGTTATCTGAGATTTCAGCTTAGGATCTGTTTGAAGAGAGAATCTTAGGATTTGTTTTGGTTCTGTGTATATAAGTCATTGCTCCGAGAGATTCTTATTGAAGAATTGTATCTGGAATCGTTGTGGATATGGAGATTTTGGAATATAAGAACATAGATGTATTGGTTTGTGCTAGAGAGTAGACTTTTGATTCGTTAAGCATATAAAGTACTTGGTCCTGGCCATTTTTTTGTCTTACTTGTTGTTCTGTGTTAAAATCCACCACAGGCAACTCCAGTGTTGTCATGGTTGTCTTCGAAGAAAGCTAATGAAGACGCTGGGTCTGCTGGTGTAAGAGCATTTGCCCTTATGGGTGCTGGTATTACAGGGTTGTTGAGTTTTTCTACAGTTGCATCTGCTGATGAGGCCGAACATGGCTTGGAGTGTCCAAACTACCCTTGGCCACATGAAGGCATTCTTAGCTCATATGACCATGCTTCGTGAGTGTTCAGTTTTATAGATTTGAGCTTTTGTATGTTAACCAATATAAATCACTAATGTCAAAAATTGACAAATCCTTAATGAGCAGGATTCGTCGTGGTCACCAAGTCTATCAGCAAGTCTGTGCATCTTGCCACTCGATGTCTCTGATCTCATACCGAGATTTGGTGGGTGTTGCCTACACTGAGGAAGAGGCAAAGGCAATGGCCGCTGAAATTGAGGTTGTTGATGGACCAAATGATGAGGGTGAAATGTTTACCCGACCTGGTAAACTTAGTGACCGCCTTCCTCAACCATACTCTAATGAATCGGCTGCAAGGTTCGCCAATGGAGGAGCATATCCACCTGATCTAAGTCTTGTTACTAAGGTTTTCTGCTGTTTCACTTAATTGGTTTACTTTTATCGAATTCATCTTCTGTGATCTAAACAGTTTTGTTTGTTTCTGCTAGGCACGTCACAATGGCCAAAACTATGTCTTTGCTTTGTTGACTGGTTACCGTGATCCTCCTGCTGGAATTTCGGTAAATTTCTCTCCTATTTTCGCATCAGACTTCTGATTACAACTTCAAATTGTTGGATGTTAAAAAAGACCCTGTGACAACGGTACAGATCAGAGAGGGGTTACACTACAATCCTTATTTCCCTGGTGGAGCAATCGCTATGCCAAAGATGCTTAATGATGAAGCTGTAGAATATGAAGATGGAACTCCTGCAACAGAAGCACAGGTTTTTTTTCCTCTGCTTAAGAAAAGATTTACAGGCCATAGAGGCATAGAGCTTTATCAAATTTGACCTTTCTTCCAATTAATACTAGTATATAATTTTTCTTTGTTTAAATATGATGCAGATGGGTAAAGATGTTGTATCATTCTTGTCCTGGGCAGCTGAACCAGAAATGGAAGAGAGGAAATTGGTAAATTTTTTGTTTGATCATATGATTCAATTGTTTAAGCAGTCCTTTCCATATATACAAGATTGCAATAGGGGTGTCTATCTGGGTTTGGGTTATTTGTTTGTTCAGATTCAGTTTTAGAAAATTGACACCAAATTAAAACCTCATACTCGCTTAGTATGGATTGGTTTGGTTTTAGATATAGAAAAAGTTCTACCATTTTCGTTGTTCGGATCCTTTGGTTTGTATTAGCGGATTGAATTCCTATAGTTGCATGTTTCTGTTGACCACAACAACGCTATTGTCTTTAGGCTTCTAATCCTAGAGCATCACTAAAACATTTTAGATACTAGTCTGCTATTATGAGACATGACCTTGACTTAGGTATGATCTATAGCGTATAGGTTCTCTTATTAAAAACTGTAATGTTGGCTCGAAACCAACCCAAAAGGAACCTGCTATATTCGGTGATCCAACTCTTTGTGTTTAGATTTCTGTTAACGTTTTTTCTATGTGTGTGCAGATGGGTTTCAAATGGATATTCTTACTATCTTTGGCTCTGCTCCAAGCTGCATATTACAGGAGACTGAAATGGTCAGTACTCAAATCCCGTAAGCTTGTTCTCGACGTCGTAAACTAAACTCCCGTCAAGATCAGCTTTCCTCTGGGTAATAAGTATTGAATCTTGAAAGGGATATAATGGTGAGATCCCGCATTTTGTCTCCAGAGACATGTTTCCGTATTTATCCTTTAGAGAGTCCAATGAGGGGAAAAAGAAGTAAAGTTTTTTGTAACCTCATATTACACAATACACATGATTTTGAGATGATATTATTTCCCTTTTTGTTTGTTTGTCTCCTAAACCGGTCTCGGTTTGTCTTAATAAAAATTGTGGTTTTACAATCTCTCCTCTGTATATCAATGTATCATAACATGATTTTGTAACAATTGGAATTGGATAGAGAATAAATCTGCAGAACAGCCGACAGATAATAAAACTTCTGCATCAGCTTAGATTAATTTTATATTTGTAGGATCTCGATTTTGTATAACTTTGAAAATGTAAGCAAGCAATCGTACAAAGCAAACAAACCATACAGAACAAACATACAGGAATATATATTTCAAAAAATATGATGAGCTCCAAAAAATTTCAATACCTATGAAAAGGTCAAAATCTGAATTCTCCTGATTATAGAAAAAAGGCTCAATCAAATCCTGGCAGGCTTCTGCAGAACAGCCGAGAGATAAACCTCTGCATCATTTTTCTCTCCAACAACCCATTTCAGCTTCTTATACCCAAACCGCTCTATCAAACGCGTAAGAACTCTCTTCTTCTCGTCATTACCGCAATAGAAATTGTCTAACCAGAACAATCCACCGGGTTTCAAGATCCGATCAAGATCAAACATCAAGAACTCCAGTTTCTCGGGTTTACTACTAGCCGCTAAATCCAGTCCGTTAGAAGCATGAATGAGATCGAAAACATTGTCGTAGAACGGTAACCTCTGATCCAAACTCATGAACAACGGAAAAATCCCTCTCGCAGCAACGAATTCGCTGAAAGGAGCACCTATATTCAATGTATTACTGATTATATTCACATTCTTTTCAGCCATCTTAGCAGCAAACGTACCTGATCCGCTGCTAATATCGAACCCGATTCGGACATTCCCATCGCCTAAACTCAAAACATCCTCTATCAAGAAATCAGTCTTCACCTTAACCTTAACAAACCTATCTTTCTCATGACTAGTACCTAGATCAAAGCAACCAACGCAATCCCGGCTCAGTTTCTTACCTTTCAAACATTCGAAACTTTTGCAACCAAGACCACTCCAGTTAACACTATTGTTACTAACAGGTCTCCACAACGAATCAGGAAACAAAGCAAGACCTGGCTTATGTACTGTTTTAGCCAAACAACGACGTCGTGGCAACGGTTCACAAGCCCGGAGAATCAACTTCTGCGCTAAGCTCCAATCATCAGGACATTTGTCAAACACATTATACGACATATACTGAGACAACAAGTCTAGAGACAATTCACAGGTATGTCCAACAGATGCAACCATCTGTGTAATCCCAGTACGAGAATCTTTGCCAAGAGGAAGCTGATGTTGCTGGAGGAACAGTTTAAGCTCTTCGGGAACTTCGGGATGGGAGAGATCGAGAGATTCGTAACCAACCATCTGTTTCTCCATCTGAGAGAGTGTGCGGTGGGAAGAATCGATTTCTCTGAGGATAAGGGAGAGATGCTGAGAAACCAAAGAGACGTTGTTGGAATGAAGAGGATGTGGCGTGTTGGATTGGGAACGAGATGAGAAAGCGTATAGTGCGAAGAGATTTGTAGTGACTACAGAGAATAGCATAAGGAGGTTTATAGCTGATGAAAAGAGTGTTGATCGCTTGAATCTTGCGGTTCCATCGCCAATCTTTAGCGATACAGATCCCATCTCAGAAAACCAAAAACCAAATTTGGAAGTTAATGTCCGAAAGAGATGAGATCCAAATCAGGAAACCAGAACATGAACATATGTTTCCAAAAATCCAAAAATCAATTGACGAAACAATCAATTTCTGGGATTTAGTACAATCAAAAGATGAATCACACAAAAGCTAAAAAGAAGAGAGACCCAACCCAACTCCTCCTCTCTGATTCAGTCGAGAGTGGGAGAAAGTAGACAAGACTGAGGATCGCCGACACAACGGAATTATTATTATAAAGTGATTTTTAATAATTTGTATTCGCTTTTTTCAAATTAATGAAATGGGCTTAAAGATTAAAAAAAGCCCAAAATACATAACAAACGGTCCAATACATCTGTCTTGATCAACTCGTCAAATTGTTTTGGGTTTTGGCCTTTTGGTAACGATATATCAACCTTGTTGTAAAGCACCGTTAACAGTAAGATCCTCTACGTAGTCTAGTTGTCTACAAAGGTACGTAATATGCAATCACGATACGCTCCAACCTTGTTGATGATGATGATGATGATGTTACGGGCCTTTGGTGGATTTGAAATTGAACCTACTCAGACCCAATAAGTATATGGGCTTTTCTAACCAACCAAGAAGATTTTGTCATTAGCATTGTGTAAATCTTTATATCCCGCATGTTCTACTTTTTTTCAAGAAGAGGACACTTTAGTTTATATTGTGTTGAACAAAAATACCAGATAGAGAAGCTCATGAAGAAAACTAAACTGACTCCACTGAATCAAAAATCAAAATGTAATGCAGATTTGGAGAGTTGGCTGTAGGCAATGGATATTATGAAGTGGAAGGGTATGGCCTAATAACATGTCCATCTTTCAAATTCCACTCCACAGACCTTTATTGGCACTAACTCAGGTTTCGGATCGTGACAAGAGAAGTAGTTTAAAGGTCGGATTTAGACTACATTGCCTCAAGCTCGAAGATACTTAAAAACATACTTACTTTAGATCGTCAATCATTCATACTAATAAATTAACTTGAAAGAACAAAGCAAAACTAGCTATTTTGTTAAAAGATACTAAAAGCTAAAAAACATTAGCCTGAAACCTAACTGAAGAACTCTGAGGAATCTAAGTGAAGAAAGTAGCCATTTTTTTCAGCAAGCTTCTTGTTGTCTACTGAGCGGTGTGAGAAGAACATCACCATATGGATGATCTTGCTTCACTTCCAAGTACCCTTTGGTCTTCAACACCTGCAAAATCAATTTCGGAGAGTTCTCCTATCTTAAATTTTTCATGGAGACAGGTATAAATAGAGGAAAATATGAGACTGTGATATTTCTTTTGACATACCAAAGTCTCATAGAAGAGTCTTGCGCTTTCCTTCTGTATTCTTCCTCTACACAGCTGCAACAAACTCACCTTCTCTTCTTCTTCTCTTTCCCTCTGCTCCATAAAAGTCTTTTCCAAGAATTTCGCCACATTCCTATAAAATCTAGAGTCAGGAAACCAGGATAATCATCTAAATGTAGGCAAATCAGAGAGGTTGATATCGTAAGTGTGAGTTTGTAACCTTGTTCTTGCTGACCATGTCTCTGCAAATCAAAATATCCATAGTAAGACGACATCACGATGATCACACACAACAAACAAACATTTAGACAAGATTTGGTCCTAACATATGTAGTGTATATTTTGAATTTTTGATTGTTGGAAACTTTTCACTCGAAAGCTTTCAAAATCTTCTTAGTTTTACCTTGTTGCAAGTCCTGTCTGTCATCTGCATTAACCTGCTGAAGCAGAAACAAAAAATCAATGCCTTGTAATTAAATACGATAGGCTAAAAGAACTATAAAAGCTTTCCTTCTGCTACTCTGATGCAGCATAGCAGTACCTCGTCGTTCATTAAAATTGTATCAAGATCTCTGTTTTCCACACGATACACAGACGGGTGCTCATTCAAAGAAGTGAAGGGACTTGCAGGTCTGGTTTCTTTATAATAGGTCTTAGGGTCCTTGAAATATCTTGTCGACATTGATTCCCTCAGCGGCGTTTCAGGTGCAATCTCTACTTGCTCTGACGTCCTCACTGGTGTTTCTGGAGCAAGCTCTGTGTGCTCTGATGTCCTCACTGGTGTTTCTGGAGCAATAACTGAATGCTTCACTGGCGTCTCAAGGATATTTTCTGTTTGATGAGCATTTCCAGAAGCTATGGAACAAGCTTCCATCTCAACTGAAACCTCGTTAATATTTCCTACTGTCACTCTCAGCCCAGAAAGAGCAGCAGCCTGAGGTGTCTCCATAATTTCTTGAGCATTCTGAGTCTGATCAGAAGATAAAATATCCCCAGGAACTCTAATGGAGCCACGAGAAATTTTTTCCGTACGTCTGGCAATTTTAGCTTCTTCAGGAAACCCTGTGGTAGCCCAGTTTTTAAGCTTGATAGGCTGACAAAAAAGCGACTGGAGTTCCACAGAACCATCTGTGGGATTACGGCAATCAGTAAACACAGGAATACACATCTATATAAAGCTAATTATGAGGTTTTACTTACACTGAATCAAAGGGTCCAAGAAACTTCGTACAGCAAAACGTTTAGTTCTCCTCTCAGGATAGTCAGTATGAGATACATTTCTCCGTTTCAAAAGCAATTTACTTGAGTCCTCTATCATTTCCCTCATAACTCTACAATAACAGAAATGCCAAGTATTACACACTTGTATGGAACTCTGCAGATGAATAGATTTACAAAATAGTTCTCTTACTTGTTCGGAATAATCACTTCATCATCTATCAGACATTTTCTCTTCCGTGAAACCCGAGAAGACTCCTTTGCAGCCGGTGTAGGAATGATCGAGAACTGGGGGCTTGTTTCCCCTGTATTTCAAAGTATAGGTTAACACGTTAAAATCATAGCTAAGTATATTTTCTGAAGCTTATTTCTAAAAAACGTGCACCTCCTGATTTTTTCAACTGCGAAGGTGTTTTGGGAGTGACAGCAACTGGAATATCTATTGCATCAAACCCTCTACTGGGGTCTTTCGAAACAGTCATGTCAGAGAGAAAATCTTTCTCAGAACCATTGAGATTTACTTCAGGAGTCTCAGATAGCTCTTTATGAGACCCATGAAACAACTCAAAGTTCGGCATTTCCGCTTCATTACTGCCTCGACATTTCTCTATGCCTTCTGGCAAGTCTCTGCAACCAGTCACAGATACTGGTTCTGGTTCTTCAAGCGTACTTATCGCCGGGATCTCTTTCTCCCTATCAATGCTTGTGGCAGTAGAAGGTTGCTCCTCAATCCTGTGAATCGCTTCAGGACTTTCACATTCAGAAAGAAGGGACCCGCTATGCTGCATCTTTCCGCAACATGTTTCCACTGAGGTTTTCTTCGATTCTGAATTCTCTGCGTGCCCATCTCTGTGTAGATTATCTCTTGAGAGTTCACGAGGATCCACTAGTCTCTGCACAATGGTACATATGGCTTCTCTAACTGTATGTTCTTCTTGAGTTTTTATTATATCTTCGGACATTTGCGGTTCCACAAGTATTTCATCTGATTCTGGATCCTCCCTATGCCTAGATGCATTCTGATTATCTCTGGATGATTCTAATGATTCATCCAGTGGCTCCACTTCAACGACTTTGACTGATGCTTCTTCAGTAGTATCTCTGACATATTCTGCATCCATGTCCATATCATGAGCGAAACTCTCACTGCAACAACATTTTTAACCACAGAAAGTTGGGATTGTGTCTGTTGATTACATGTATAGAACCAAAAAAATATCGTACTCACTGCTTGGATTCATTCTGATTGGCAGAGAAAGTTTCATGAAACGTAAACATGAGGTCCTCATCCATGTCAAACTACAACACCACAAAGCATTACGTTCATAACATGTATAATAACGAAATTACTGGAATAAAAATCAAGAAATAATGTCAACATACGTTGTAGTAAAACCAAACAGTTAGACAGTCAGTAATCTATAAGGTGAGAACTGAGAAGCCATACCCTTTCCATCGAGTACATGTCCATCCTCTCTGTTTCCTGACTTCCATCTGATTTATCGCAGAGAAGTGATATTAGTACATGAACAATAATGAGGTTCACTTCAAACGACTTTAGTAGTTAAATTACCTTTAAGTGTAATATCTTCCTGCGGCTTAACATTTCCACTGAGAAAGAAGAAACAAAAAGTGAGACAACGAAAAAAGTCTCTGAAAGATACATTCTGTATAGGAATAACAAGCATACCCATGAAAATCTTCCAGAATCCCAAGATCTAATTCAAAAGCATCTAGTTCGAAGCTCCTAGGCAAAACAATGGAAAAACACCCAGCAGATGCAGGCAATGGCACGGCTGTCTCCTCTCTGTTCCTCTCCTTAGCCACAAACTCCTTTACACCGATCAACGCTTTGTTGCAGTCATCGAACAAAAAGTCCACCTTCTTGGAATATATCCTTACAACACCCAAAAGAAGATACGCTAAAACTCTGTATGTCAACGCATCTAACTCCTTTTGCAAGATCTCATCTGTGCTTCCAACAGAAACCCAGAAGAATTAGATAACATAAACGGCTATGAAGTAATCAATATTCTTGAAATTTCAAATGTTATCGAACAAAATTCCATCTTCTCTAGGATATAAGGAATTTAGAGACCAAGCGAACTAAATGTTAGACAAAAAATTCATCAGCATTTTGATACGCAAAAAAGATACTTTTGTTCAAGCAGATGTATACCAGAGATTCAGAGTCTAAAAGCGTCTGTAAAAAATACCACTGAGCACAATCTCTGAGGTTCATTCACGCATTTTATCAAACAACTGATGAACAAAATACAACAAACATAAAAAAAAACCCCAAAAAACAGTGATCTTTAAATTGACGCTTCAATTGATAGAAACAAAACCCTAAAATTTGCTATTTCAGGTAAAATTTCCACTATAAAGCTACAAACTTTCACCCAAATCAATCACATTATTCCAAGTCTACTCTACACCTTGAAATCACCGGAGAAGAATTAAAGGAAGAAGAAGAAGAATGTGAAGAAGGAGACAAACCAACGGAGGAAGGTATATGAGTGGCTTTGACTTGAGCTTTCTTAAGCTTTTTGAAGAAATACGCAGCGACCCAAATAGCTCCTAAAGGTCCTTTTCTCGATACGAGACATTGCGAGTAAAACATTGTGCTCTTTTGATCCCTTTTACTACACTCCCAGATTCTGGGTTTATTAGACTAAAAAGGTTGGTTTTTTAAATTAAGAGAGAGTGCTCAGAGTCAGAGGCTTCGTCTATACTGAAGCGAGGGAGAGACAAGAAGAAATCGAGTAGAACAAAAAGGAAACGGTCAAGCGGTGTACGAAACAAGCTTCTTCAAAACCGAGACAAAACACTTTTCTTAATTTTAAAATTTTAATTTAATCTTCATGTTAAGTCACGCTTAATCTGTTTTTTTTTTTGTTTCAATTCATTTCAAATATTTTTTTTTTATAATAAAACCTATATTGAAAAGTTATACTATTTTTTAGGAAATTGAAAATGTACATAAATTTTAGGTGTCTTTATAAGTCATAAATCTAAATCTTCCTAATTAGACGGTGACTACAAAATCACACCTTCTTAAATTATGCATTCCCTTTTATGTATAGTAGAATTCTTTTTTTTTATTTTTAATATCTATTGTGGATCCCTAAATTTTCATTAATTTGGACTAAAAAATATTATATATATACAAGCTAAAATAGGTAAAAGAAAACCTTTTGTTATAATTAAGCGACAAAGCTAACAATTGAAATACAATAATGCTGATTAGAAAAAGAAGATTATTTGTGATGTGAAAATTATAAATACCACTAATATCGTATTTACCTTTTTTGTAGATCCTAAAAAATTAGAAGTAAATAGTAAATATAATAAAACACAGTGAGACTAGACTAGAGAGGATAATAACGACTAGTTTTTGATCGAAATGTGAGCTGCCTGGTCACTTTTAATAGTACATCGCATCGTAAACAGCGTTTTCAAACGTTTCTTTTCTTTTTTACCGCGGTCGGGTCATTTTGTATTAACACGTGTTCAGTTAAAAGTCTACGTGGCGTTGAAGTGACATCGACGAATCCACGATCATTGATCCGACGTGGCAATGCAGGTTTTAAATGGTGGGCTTTGATGCCCAATAGGCAATAGGCAATAGAGATCTCAAATATATCTCCCGACGACCAAAACTAATAAACCATTTAAAGCCCAATAAAGGCCCAATTAGTCAATAGTCCTGTAAACACACAAATCTCTCCGTCTCTCTCAGTCAATAGGCCCAATTAGTTATATAAGACCCTGAGATTTGTTATTTTCTCTTCATCGTTATAGCCCACGGCTTGAGTTCGGAGAGAAGGGAGTCCCAACTCCCAAGTCCCCTTGAAAGCATCAAAGGGTTAAGTAACCTTTTCGAAGAGAAGTGTCCTTTCGTCTTCAGAAAAAAGTATGAAAATATTTCCTACAAATACTAGACTAAAAATAATGTCACCAACACACAACACAAATACATAAATCTACATGTGCATATTTGCCAAAAGCACACAAGTTGGTGTCAACGCTCACTTTTTTTGTGCCTAGAGGCGTGTGTGTGCTCATTGTTGAATCTTCCCCATTCTCCTCATCCAAATTCCGACACATCTCTCTCTAGCCGCCATTACAAAATCCCCTGCAGTTTACAAAAACTCACTCTTTCTGGTCCGATCTCTTCCTGTCGCTCGCAAATTTCTGATCTTTAATTCACAGTTTCTTCTCTTCTGTGCTCGGAATCTCTAATCGCCGGCTTCCAGCTCCAGGGTGAGATTACTTTATGTGCTTTGCTCTGCTTCGGAACTTTAAGTTATGTTTCTTTTCTCTGCCCAGGTTCGGTTTTTGAGCTGCGTTGATGTTTTACTTTGAGACTGAGACTGAGACTGAGACTTCTCTTTTAGCTCTTTTCTTTCCTTTCTGAATCTGTTATTGAACTCTTTGTCAGAATCAATAGTACCCAGATCGTAGTTCTGTCAATTTCATCTGTCCTTTTGTACCAATTTAAGGAATATTTTTGTCATAATTACATTTGGGTTTGTTTATGATGATGTTGATGTTTTAATGATGTTGATATGATGATGATGATGATGATGCTAATGATGGATCTAAATCTTGTGCAGGCTTGTGTTGTTGGTTATTGAATGGCTCTTGTCCAGAGGATTCCACTTTCCTCCTCTAGTGTTCGGAATTGGCAACTAGCCAGGACCAATTTGAGTCCTGTTTGTTGTTTACATTACAATACTGCATCTTCTTCTTCGCCATTTACAGAGAAGCACTCAGTGGAGAGATACCAGAGGGATCAATGGCTGTACAAGGCTGTTGAACCCACGCCACCATCAAATCCATCTCCATCGCCGTTTGAAGATGAAGTCTTTGTTAGGGAAAACGACATTGCAACGCAGCTGCCTGAGCTGAAGAAGCTCTTGGCTGTGCTTAGAGAGAAGAGAGTTAAAGGCTGCAAAGGTGGTGATTGTGGACCGGGAGATGTGTATCTTGTGGGGACAGGACCAGGAGATCCTGAGCTTTTGACTCTTAAAGCTGTCAGAGTTATTCAAAGTGCCGATCTTTTGCTTTACGACAGACTTGTCTCTAATGATGTCTTGGAGTTGGTTGCTCCTGATGCTAGACTTCTTTATGTCGGCAAAACTGCTGGTTATCATAGCAGAACTCAGGTAACGCCGAAGTACTTGTTTTGATTGCTTAGCCAGATCATATTGTTACTGATACGATCATTGTTTTATGAATTGGTTGCTTAGTAGTAGTATTAAGCCTTTTGATGTTGTTACAGGAGGAGATTCATGAACTACTCCTAAGTTTTGCTGAAGCTGGTGCCACTGTTGTCAGGCTTAAAGGTGGAGATCCTTTGGTAAGCTTTTATCTGCTTCTCATATTCTTTCTAATTTCTTGTATGGCTCCTTTTTATAATGTGTTTGCTACTTCTATTTGGATATTTTAGGTCTTTGGACGGGGCGGGGAAGAAATGGACTTTCTGCAACAACAAGGGATTCGAGTTCAAGTTATCCCAGGTAATGTTGTAATTCTTGTCACTCTTTTCCAATTTACCATATCAGATTTCATTTCTCTAAGTAACAGCTTGGATATGTTTGATTTGAGTTGCACTTCTCTGATCAATGTGGATATTACATTCTTTGGGAACTCAAATGATTGTGGTGACTGAACTGGTTATATCTTACGGGAAGTTTGCGGTTATGGTTGCAGGGATTACTGCGGCATCGGGGATAGCAGCAGAGTTGGGGATTCCGTTAACACATCGAGGTGTTGCAACAAGTGTGAGGTTCCTCACTGGTCATTCTAGGAAAGGAGGGACGGACCCTTTGTTTGTTGCAGAGAATGCAGCTGACCCGGATACAACACTTGTCGTTTATATGGGTTTGGGAACTTTACCTTCTCTTGCACAAAAACTGATGGACCATGGTCTCCCGTCTGATACACCAGCTGTTGCGGTTGAACGTGGAACCACTCCTCTACAGCGTACAGTAAGCAACCAAATGATACTCTCTTCTCTGTGATTTTTTCCAGCGCGTCTGTTACTAGAGTGAGTTTTCAAGGCTTTGGGGATATTGTGCAGGTTTTTGCTGAGCTTAAAGATTTTGCAACTGAGATTCAGTCAGCTGGATTGGTGTCACCAACGCTCATCATCATAGGGAAAGTCGTCGAGCTCTCGCCTTTATGGCCGCATTGCACGAAAGAATCGTCCTCCTGCCTTGTAGAGAGCCGTTAGATGCTTCTGTTGACATTACGGTTAAATTTTAGGAGCTATGAAGGTTGAGAGATGTAATAATCAAAAAGGACGGCTGATATATTCTTATGTCCATGTCCTTCGATTAATTTGGGCAATGCCAGTATCATTTACAAGCCTCAAACAGAGCCAATATAATGTTGGGGTAAAATTTAGGAAAAGCTAAGTTTCGACCCAATTGTCCACTAATTTTTGGGAAGAAAAAGATTAGAGAATAGGCCAACTACAAGATCACATTTCATAATCACAGTTTACACATTCTCTACTTCATTAAAATAAGGTTAACATTGTTCTCTAAGAACCTAATACAGTAAAACCTCTATAAATTAATAATATTGGGACCATAAGATTTTATTAATTTATAGTGATATTAATTTATCTCTATAAATTAATATCTATTTTATAGTGTAAATTAATAATTATTAATAACTAGTAGTATTTTTAAGGAAATTGTTAAGAATATAATTTGGGATAATCTTACAAAAACAAAAATAAATTTCAAATATTATAGAAAAATTCACTTATACATATGATATACATAAATTTCAAATTTATGATTAATAACCTCAATTTTCATATTTTAACATCCTATAAAACTAAAAAATATGAATATGATGTATATCTAGAAATTTAAAACAGAAAATAAAATTTGGTTATTTTATGACATATTATGAAGTATATTACAAGAGTATAGTATACAATATAACATAATTTTTTTTTATAAAGATGACCGGTAGAAGAAACTCATTTTACAAAAACCTAAAGCATACATTAATATATATATAGTAATTATTAATTTGTGATATTATTGGGACTATATTTTACATGGAGATTTCAAAAAAATTATTATCTTATCGAATTTCGTTCATTTTTACACTGGTCCAACTTGGGACCAGCAAAATTTATTAATTTATAGTGATTATTAATTTATAGAGTATTAATATATAGAGGTTTTATTGTAGGTAGAACAACAAAGCTGGAAATGTAAGAAAATGACCAGAAAGCTACAAATATGAAATCAAACTTGAAGTTATCAAGTCCAAAAGAGCAAAAGATGCAGTCTTTTAAGGCCAAAAGGTAGAATCGAAGCTTCATATATCCCTCATGGTTTATAATTTTTGGTAATAGAAAGAGGTTGAGTGAAATCAAAAGGGGATTAGATAGAAATATTATTAAATGGGATTTATTCCTTAGTTAATTAAACGACGAAGACAACAAAGGTTAAAAACTTAAACATAGCTAAACCAGCTAAACCAAAAGAAATAAGTAATTAAACAGAGAACATTAAACTAATACGACTAAGCACAAATCCTAATTATGGCCATTCTTCTTCTCTGTCTAGCCACCGATCTTCTTCTCTTCCTCCTCCTCCTTCTTCATCTTCTTCTCCTCCTCCTTCTCCTCCTTCTTCATCTTCTTCTCCTCGTTCTCCTCTTCTTCTTTCTTCTTCCTTGCCTCTTCTTCATCAGCTTGATCTATAAGATCCCACAGTTTCATACTCACAACTTTGGATCCTTCAAAGTTAAACGAAATATCTTTTCTCCCCAACCAAACTTCTACTCTCTGCCATCAGATATCCCAAACATCAATAGGGTACCCACCTCTATCTTTTCTCCAAGCAGATACTCAGGATCCAGCTTTCCCATGGAACAGTGGCTGTATCCATTCTACTCCTTCTGACTCACGTAGTGGTTGAACCTCTTATCTTCTGGAAGTATGAGAGTCTTCACAATCTCAAAGAACTACTGAGCAAACTTCGTTACCTCCTTCTCGGCTTCCTCATCTTCCTTGTGTGATTCCTTGTTTGATTTCTCTTCCTCAGCCACTTCACTCACTTCATCTTGCTTTTTTCCTCAACCACTTCACTCACTTCATCTTGCTTCTTTTCCTCAGCCCCTTCACTCACTTCAAATAGGATTAGGACTCTTACTGCCTTTCACTATCAAAACTTGGCCTTCGAGACAACCCAAATTACAAGTTTTACAAATTTTGTGCAAAAATATCATATCTCATCACTCTCTCTTTGTTCTTTCCATTGCAGATTCTCTTATCAATCATACTGGGGAGGAAAGTTGTTCTACTAGAGTTTATTATTGTAGAGGTTGTTTAGGCAAAAAGAGAACAAAGCTGTGGGTGGGATATATATACTTTCGTTGACATTGTCTTTTATTATTTGGATTGTGATAATAAACTTACTTCTCGAACATATCTTTCTCGAAGCTTCTTCTATCTTATACTTCCAATTTATTCTCTTTAACCTCCACAAGGTTGGTGAATGTTAAACATGAAAAGTGAACACATACAATTTATGTTGTAATGAAGCCACATATTTATGCATGGTTTTTTGTTTTTTTCTATGTGGATCTTCAACTTCTTAATACACATCATTTTTACCTTTCTATCTGATAGATTATTAATATATGAAAATGAGGAATGTAATTTATATATCTTCCTTACGAAAAATTCTTTGACAGTTTTTATAATATATAGTTTCAAATAGTCTACATATTAAATAACCTCGAAACTACAAAATTACATCAACTAAATATTAATTTTAAGCACATCAAAATTATATATACTCATACTTTTCTTAAAGTTTAAATTGATATGATAAAATAATTAAAATAAATCTGTTTATAATTTGAAGTATTGTTTCAATAAATAAAACAAAAAAAAATTATATATAAATTACTATATACGTAATTGATTTTTGTAAGCCATATATATATGTATATGGGAAATGAACCACATAATTTGGGGTTAGTCAAAACTCAAAATATATAAAATAGTTTAGGGATTTTATGGGTTTTAAAATTAGGAGAATATTTATCTTTATTTAATTCAAAACAGATACATAACCCCACTGTTAAATACTTAAATTTGCTTGTCTGGGTCAAAGGAGTTGTATTATGGCAATGATTTTTACAAAGTTTGGTATTTAAAAATAAGTTAAAAATTTAATGAAAAGTTGGTGTTTTTTTAGTTTTTTTTTTATGTGTAATATTTTTACAAAGTTTGGTATTTTAAAATAAACTTAAATTTAATGAAAAAGATTGGTTTTCTTGTGTGTATACAATTAAACGGTGTGTATATTTTTTGTGCGTAGATGATCACTGAAGAATGTAATTGAGCAGTAAGAATATGTTCTTACTTATCAGAGACCTCTTCAAAAGAACGACTACTAAAGATCACCAAGCAAGTAAGCGAATCTCCATAGGACAATCAATGACATTCTTAGTTTTCGAATCAACGCATATACCACACACACAAGGAACCAACATATTCAAAATTTTAAATAATAAATTTATATATTTTCTAAATTGAATAAAATATTTTAAAAATGAGTAATTAAGATTTGTATTATATTTGAAAATGTATAAATATTTTTAAAATGAATAAAATATTTTAAAAATGATTAGTTAAGATTTGTATTATGTTTTTAAAATGTATAAATATTTTTTGAATAAATATTATGAAAATGAATATTTAAGATTTGTATTTTGTTTTTAAAATGTATAAATTTTTTAAAATGAATAAATAGTTTTAAAATGAATAATTAAGATGTGTATCATGTTTTAAAAATGTATATATATATATATATATATATATATATATATATATATAGACATCTATATTGGACATCTCCATTGGATGGGTAATCACTTAAGAGTATCTAAAAAAATTAAATTTACATAAAATCTAATAATTAATTGTTTTAGACATTCTTGATGAGTGTCACCATTAAACATGCTCTTACTCTCTTATCAATTTCACAATCGAACAGAGTAAAAGTAAACAAACTAGTAATTAGGAAATGTCTTACCAAACAAAGTCAACTTAACGTTATAGAGACTTGTTCTATATAACAACCACGTCATTCCAAAAAGAAGACATTAAACGCACGAGACCAACGTGAAGTGAAACAATAGCAACATCGTGTCTTTGAGCCACGTGATAAAGGCTGATTGGGTTCCATAATATATTCATAATACGACCCACAACAACGTTTCTTCGACTAAGTTTTGATGAATCATTGGCCGGCCAAATCTCTTACAACATGCGTGCGAGGCAATACGTGTCAACGTCAGTTTTCACGAGGAAATCAAATCTTTTACAAAGTTTTTGCGTTTTTAATCGATCCCTTAAAATCAGAACGTGTGCGTCCGTGAGTCGTGAAGTTACCCACTATGATGAGCAACGACTCATCTCCGGTGAATCATTCACCGGAGACGGCTGAGGAGAACGGTGGGGTTATTGAAAAACCAAGTGTTCTGTCTTCCTCGACTAAGAGAATTTCTGGTATTAATATTTATTTTTGTTATTGGATTTACTTATATCGACCTAACGAGGGATCATGTAGGGATTCTAAGAAATAATCAAAAACATGTAAAATAATTTATGTGTTATGTAACGAAATACTTATATAACGATTTCGTATGAATGCGTGTGTATATATGAATTTATTCATATTGTATTCTCAGAATCGCCGGTAAAGGAGAATTTAGCTCCGGCGGATACTTCAACGATGGTGGATAATGGTTTAAGTGCTCATCAAGTGAAACCTCGTTGGTCGTTTTCTTCTTCTAAGAGAAGCTTTGGTACTTGTTTTCACAATTTTTTTTTGTTTTTTTGGTTGGTTTATTTTTAGTTTAACTGAGCTTTGTAGTAAAACGATCGATATTGAGCTCCTTGTAGTAAAACAATTATGATCAGATCATCTTCTTTATTGGATTTAATCTCATCATTGGCTTTTGTTCCCCGTCAAAATAGAGAGATTTTAGGTGTTTCCTAATTGGATTTGTTTAAATAATGGCTGCTGAAAATAGTGATTCAATAATGAGTTCTAAGTTCAATAATGACTCCTAAAAATAGTCTTGAAATAATGAGTTCTATAAAATTAGAATTGTTTTTTTGCAGGTTAATTGGAGATTTATATCCCTTAAAAAACAAAAACAAAAAAGCGATTTTATTAAGAAAAAATTGGAGAATTCATAGTTAAAGATTTTAAGAGTGATTTATTTTTGGGACAAATAAAGACTGATTTCTTATACTTGGTGTTCTTTTTTCTTTTTAATGAAGTCTTGAAATATGTAAGTTGTTCCAATGTGACAGGGAGTAGTAAAGATGATACCTTTTATGAATCACATCAATGGCTGCAATCTGATTCTGAAGACGATTTCTACAGCGTTCATGGCGGTTTGTTACATTCAATTACACTCTGATATAACTTTGGTTGATATCTTTATCTAAACTTAACTTAATTAAGATTTGAGATTTGGTTTATGCATGTAGATTTTACTCCATCACTTGGTAACACTCCAAAGTGTAGTTTCTCTGAGAAACTTCCTCGCTTTCACAACCCTTTATTTGAAGCAGAGAAGCCTCGAGTATCATTTTCGCATTCTCCAGCACCGCGGAGGAAGAAATTAGCCGAACTTTTTAGAGATAGTATAAGAGAAGAACGAGAGTATATTTTGGAAGAATACTCATCGGAAAACCAAAGTGAAAAGAGTAAAAAATCATCAAGTGATCACTCTAATGAGCTCAAGGTCATTGAAAATTCTGTAAAAGAAAAAAAGATTCTTAAGTCTTTGAATTATCATCATCGATGTCTTCCGAGATTCCCGTCTTTTAAAGGAAGTTTAATGGAGAAGAGAAAGAAGAAGAAGAAAAAAATTCATGTGAAATGAGATTGAAAATTTGGATGCTTTATTATGAAAAATCTATAAACTTTCACCTGGAAATTTGGTAATTTTTACTTGTTATTTGTTGATTTATGTGATGAGAAATAAGCAATGATTTAGAAGAAGAGAACCCTATTTACGATCTAGTAAAATGTAGTTTGTGGATAATTTGGTAATGACATTGAAAACCTGTTTCTAAGTTGGTATATTAAACTAAAAATCTAAAATTATTCAGTACTGCAAATGCTCAAAAAAACGTTTTTTGATTTCAAATCGTTTTTAAAAACGCTATGACACAAAAAAAAATTTGTAATTAAATTTTAGAAAGATATATGTACAATCGCAACACACCTACTTAGCCCAAAAAAAAAATCTAAAATATATGTTATATCTAAAATATATATATATATATATAAAACCATAGATAAATTTTAAGATAACTATAATTGAAAATTTTAACAAAACATTTATCATATGTATTCATATACCAGAAAAAGCCTGTCCTACATTTGTTTATTTTGGTCTCAGCTACATTTTCTGATAACAAGTGGGGGGCTTTGATTGGTAAAAAAGTGGAATATCCTTTATTATTTATTTTATTTTCACGTGCCCATTATAATTCCTTCTTATTTGTTATTTTTTTCATTGAATTATCATCTCCACATATTTTCTTATTTATTTGTATCACATCTATCTTAACATTTTTGAAGTACATTTTATACTAAAATCTATTTTGGCTTATAACCTTTTATTTTGTAATATTTGCATAATCAAACTCTTGCCATTTGAATAAATAACAAAACTTAAAAGTAAATTTTGTAATTAAATCACAAGCAAATCCCAAAATTGGAAACCAAATATTTATTACATAAAATTTTTTCCTAAAATCCCTCTCTAATAAACCGAATCTCTCTCCAATATATTTATATAATCTTATGTGTTTTAAATTTATATTATTACATAAAATATGTTTATAATAAAAATACAAATTTTTTTTCACACATTTTGCAATTTAAAATTTTGAAAAACGGACGTAGTTAACTCAATCAATAAAGAAAAGAATATATGTATAACCTTTACATAAGATATAAAATTTTAGATAATAGTTCAAAACCTTTATAAATAATATGTTTACAACTACAAATGAGCATGAACTTTGATTTCACAAGTATCCAAATTAAAACTTTTATTAGCTTAATCCGGTTCTTTATTTAAGGAAAATAAAAATTTTAAAAAGTTTCAGAATATTATAAATTTTAATTTTTAACAAGTTTAAAATGTGATAAATATTAAAACTTTAAAAAGCTGAAAATTCTGATATTTTATTTAATTTTTATAGAATATTAAAATAATGAAAAATATTTAAACTCAACAAAAATTAAAAGTATTACTAATATTTTAACTCTACAAATATTTAAAATATAATAATATTGGACATAATATGCTTGAACGGGTTTTAGTTTACATAAATATGATTATATTTTTCTGCGGGTTGTCTATATTTAAAATCTTTTACGGGTTAAGTTAAAATATAATTTTTTATTTACAACAAAATTGTCTCGCGATGTACAGCGGGTTTACCAGATATATCTATGAATTTACTTATAATACAAATTTATAAAATTATATTAAATTAAATAAAATAAACATATACAAACCTAAATTATATAAATCAACTACGAAAATGATCATATATTAAATTATGGACCCGTGGTGTACCACGTGGTAAATCCTAGTTGTCAAAAGAATATAAATAGAAATTTATATGCCTAAAATAACACAATCCTGTATTTAAAATAATATTCCTAAAATCCTAAATCCTAAATATAAGTACACAAACATTATTATAAAATATAAATTTATAAGTCTTAATTAACATAACATATATAATATTGATTTATCCCTAAATGGCTAAATCCCCAAACTATAAAGTACAAAAACATTATTAAGAGGGAAGTGAGACAAAAGGTTTGATATTTGCTGCGTTGAACAGATTCGTTTTGTCACTTTTGTCAGTCTTCACTTCGGTTCTGATTCGACAAACGCTTTGGTTCTTCGCCGGTAACAAAATCCATATTCCGCGACCATCGGAATTTCAATGCCGGAGGATTCTTCTTCGATAGACTACGCGATGGAGAAGGCATCAGGGCCTCACTTCTCCGGTCTTCGTTTCGACGGCCTTCACTCTTCTTCTCCACCCAATTCCTCCGTCGTCTCTTCCCTTTCTCACCTCCGATCAGCTGTTTCTTCTTCCTCTCCTGCTTCTTCTGATTCCGACGCTCCCAAACAGCCCTTCATTATCGGTGATTTTCCCAAACTACGTTGTTTAGGTTTTTATAATCAAATTTGGGTAATTGGGTTCTGTCTCTCTCGATTTTGGGAGTTTCTACTGCATTGATTTCGTTTAAATCTAGGGTTTTGATTGTAGAACCTTTGACTATGGTAGCATTTTGTGCTTTCATGGTTCAATCTATAAGATTATCGATATTTGCATAAAGTTCAGTTCTTTATTTGCCTTTTGACAGGGGTTACTGGTGGTACGGCTTCTGGCAAAACTACGGTCTGTGATATGATAATCCAGCAACTTCATGACCATCGTGTTGTTCTAGTTAATCAGGTTTTGGTTCTATTGCTTCAATCTTGTTCTCAGTGTTCCAGTTTCTTCTGTATTGGTTTGGCTGAGATTCACATCATTATAGTTTGAATTAATGTTATTTTGTTGATTTAGGATTCCTTTTACCGTGGTTTGACATCTGAGGAGTTGCAGCGTGTGCAAGAGTACAACTTTGATCATCCAGGTAAACTTAACTTAAATGGGGTTTTCTTGAATTTTCTCACTCTTTGTATTTTGGCCTAAGCTAAGACTAGTGAGGACTAACATATTGGTAGCATTTGGTTAATCTGTCACCTTCTATTTTTGTTCCTTTTGCAGATGCCTTTGACACTGAGCAGCTTTTGCATTGTGCTGAGACTCTCAAGAGTGGGCAACCCTATCAAGTTCCAATCTACGACTTTAAAACCCATCAACGTAGATCTGATACTTTTCGTCAGGTTCATACTCTTGTTTCCAAGATCATTATGTGGTTTTTGCCTAAAGCTGCGTCTCCCATTACTATACCCCCATTTGATCTGATTCTCCTATAATTCTGGCTTTTGATCTGTTTCTCTTTTTACTTAACGTGCTTGTTAGCACCTCTTCGAGTTTGATCCTGTGTTGCAGTTGATGACAGTTATTTATATATCATATTAATATCTTTTGGGACCCTATGTCAGGTCAATGCTTCTGATGTTATTATTTTGGAAGGGATTCTAATCTTCCATGATTCACGAGTTCGGAATCTGATGAATATGAAGATCTTTGTTGACACAGGTAATGACCAACGTTATCTTCAGTTCAATCAACTGCTATGTCTTTTCGTTTCCCCAAAGCATGCATATATCCTGCGCTACTCATCGTCTTTCACTCTTTTTACAACCATTACTTATTAGTTTTGTATACTGGGAAATGATATTGTAATCAAAGTTGACCATCTCCTGTTCTGTAGCTGATGCCTTGATAGGTTCTGTACTTCTCTAGCTGATGCCTTGTAATCAAAGCATTTGCTCATATTGTAATCAATGTTGACCATCCTATAGTTTAGTGTTCTATATCATCCTTTAAGCACTGAATATAGAAAAAATGCTTTTTATTTTTAAAGCTACTGAATTTGTCAAATTAGAATCTATTTCACATTTTTATAGTCCTCATCTTAAGCTATTAAATGGTTTCAGATGCTGATGTAAGGCTTGCTCGCAGAATCAGGCGTGACATAGTTGAGAGGGGTAGGGATGTCAATTCTGTGCTTGAACAGGTTAGTCCTCTTTTTGATATATGCTGTAGGATTGGTCTGCATAATTTTATCTAACCTAGTTAGGTGGCTTTATTATATCTGTGAAATCGGGACCTGGCTAACAATAACACATGGAAATTCTGCTCTATTTAGCTACTCTGATTTTTTTCTTACTTTTCTGCTGTTATTTTTCCAGAGAACTCTATATGTTCTTGTTCCATCCTTTGAGATGGTCCTACGTAAAATATCTATTTCAATCTTCTGAGCTTCCCTTGTGTTCAACTTTCGTCTGAGGATCTTATGTTGATTTGCAGTATGCAAAATTTGTGAAGCCGGCATTTGATGACTTTGTGCTTCCCACGAAGAAATATGCTGATGTTATCATACCTCGAGGAGGTGATAATCATGTTGCTGTCGATTTGATTACGCAACATATCCACACAAAACTTGGGCAGCATGATCTCTGCAAAATCTACCCAAATGTTTATGTTATCCAGTCAACATTTCAGGTATTTTCTTTCTTTTTCCCTCGTTGATACTTGATTTTGATGGTATGTGTTTGTATAATCACTAGAGGATCATGATTGTAGATAAGAGGCATGCATACACTTATTCGGGAGAAGGACATATCAAAGCATGATTTTGTGTTTTATTCAGATCGACTCATCCGTCTGGTATTTCTCTGCCTTATGTCTTCTCTTTCAACGCCACTCAGCTTTCAGGCTTTCTTATGTTAACTATATCGGTTTAATTTCAGGTCGTGGAGCATGGTCTTGGTCATTTGCCATTCACTGAGAAACAAGTAGTTACTCCTACAGGTATGAGAAGATAATGCACGAGCTGTAACAACACTGTACACTTTCTTATAGGTCGTGGATTTAGAATTTAGTTTTTTGTGCCTCGTGGAAACCAAAATGAAAACCTCACTTCCCGAGACAATTAGTACCACCTTTACCAATACCACATAGATTATTTAGAGTTAGCTGATTCAACTAGTTAAACTTCTTATCTTTTCCACTCCAGGAGCTGTATATACTGGTGTTGATTTCTGCAAGAAACTTTGTGGGGTCTCAATTATTAGAAGGTGAGCATTTGTAAGGTATTGTATTTGGTTAAGTGTGAGATGATAAGATGCTGATTCTTCCAACTGTTTTACGTGATGGAAGGCATAAGTTACTTGGTTGCGATTAAATTATCTATCCTAAGAGTTTTCTGTTTTGTATGTCTTTTACCTAGTGGTGAAAGCATGGAAAATGCATTACGCGCTTGCTGCAAAGGAATTAAAATAGGGAAGATCCTCATCCACCGTGATGGCGACAATGGAAAACAGGTCTGCTAATTAATATTCTGCTCTTTTCATAAACAAGAATTTTAACGTTTCTCTTCTCTTCTAAATCAGCTTATTTATGAGAAGCTTCCTCACGACATCTCTGAACGCCATGTCCTGCTTCTAGATCCTGTCTTAGCCACAGGTACCTGTCTCTTTACGTATATATATTGTAGTCTTGCTGATGGATTTTTGTTTCTCTGAATCTATCTCGTGATATTGCTTGTTCTGAAAGGTAACTCTGCAAATCAAGCCATTGAATTACTCGTACAGAAAGGAGTTCCTGAATCTCACATTATATTCCTCAACCTTATCTCGGTGAGTGTATTAAGCTAAGATCAATCTTTCTCCCTCCCTCCATGAATATAGAAGCTGATCTCTCTCTCTTCCTGGCCTTGATTTCTGACAGGCGCCGGAGGGAATCCACTGTGTATGCAAACGTTTTCCAGCATTGAAGATAGTGACGTCTGAAATAGACCAGTGTCTGAACCAAGAGTTCCGAGTTATACCGGGCTTAGGCGAGTTTGGCGATCGTTACTTCGGCACCGACGATGAAGACCTGTAGTCACCACTCAACACTGTGACCGGTTGGACCAAAAAAACAGACGCATTGGTTGTCCTATTAGCCTAAATTTATGACTAGAGACACCAGAGGAACTTGTATTTCTCGTCTTAAAAGAACCTTCATAAGCTTGTGCCATTAATATTTATGTCTCTCTTATGATTTTTGAATTGAATTGAAAGAGAAATTGAATTTATGATTATTTTAGATTATTGATTTGGACCATCATTAAAACAAAACATTAAATGAACCCACGAATGATGGGCCTAAATTAAGTCCAATAAAAAATTATGGCGTAACCGCCACGCTCATCCATCATTTATAACTCTATAAATACACAGTTCCCCTGCTAACCTTTTTTTTTTAGATCATTCGACTCGTTACCTTTTTTTTTCCACCTCCGTCTGAAATTTTCCTTTTTCTTTTGGCTCTCCCCGATCGAGTTGCAAAGCGTTGTTCCTCTCTCTAATCGAAGATCTAGATTCTACATACGTTTGATCTCTCAGGTTTGCTTCTACTTCGACTACGCTTTTCTCCGCGATTATGATGATGTCTTCTTCGTTCCTGCTTTCACACATTGGGTTGGGTTTCTCCGTCTTCTCGATTCTCGATCCTCCTATTCGCATCGACGCCCATAAATCTAGGGTTTATACCGATTGGGATGAGTGAAAGCTAGGGTTTCACCGATACGGATGATGGATTCGAGTTTTTCTTCTTATTGTACATTCGTCGGAAGCTAGATCTCGCTTCTTGGGGATTCTTCGTTGTTTTTGTTGTATTTTAGGGTTTTGATACTATGAAATCATCGAAGCCTATCGATTTCAGTTTGTGAATTGGAAACTCGGATGAACGATCGTTCGTCAGCTATGGCTTGTTTGGACTGAAGAGATCTATTGTTTTTAGTGGTATTTAGGTTAGGGTTATGAATGGCGATTTGAATTTAGGGATTTATTTGGGTTTTCTGTGGACGTGGTGCTCTATGATACCTGGATTGAATTTGGGGTTACAGTCAGAGGATTGGTGAATTCAGAAACTCCTTTACTTCTGGACTTGTTACCCTTCTGAAAATTTATGTATGGATCATCATGGATGAAGCAACAATGCTCGACTCTGTGGTTCAGTCTTCTAAAGTTGGTATTTTCTCAATGTTTAGTATGAATTACGAGGCGCCAAGGAGATACTCACAGGGAAGGCATTATGGAGTCAAGAGACAGCAAGATTTCGCTGCAGATGTAGTTTCGAGAGGACCTTATGGCCCTTATGACAATACAATGAAAGGTCCTTATAAGCGTTCAAGGAATCTGGTTTGGAAAGCACCAGGGGGCAACAGGCCAAAACAGAATGAAGTCAATGGGTCAACAAAACCACCAGTTTTAGGCACAAGATGTTCTGTGTCAAACCAGCCGAGAAAAAATTCTGTGTATGGGCCTAAAAGCTCACCTATCTCAGACACCAGAGGCTGTGGGTCCAGGGATAACAGCAGTACTAAAAAAATTGTATGCAAGTACTGGAAAGCTGGAAACTGCAATAGGGGTGAGCAGTGCCAATTCTTACACTCTTGGTCTTGTTTCCCTGGATTAGCCATGGTAGCTGCTCTTGAAGGACACACGAAGGTACGTTTCCAGTATTTGTTTGTATAATCATATATATGGTGTTTTACTCTCGGCTAAATATAGTTTTTTGCTACAGGATATAAAGGGGATCACCCTCCCTCAGGGTTCCGATAAACTCTTTTCAGTCAGTTGCGATGGTACATTGCGAATTTGGGACTGCCATACTGGTCAGTGTGTACATACCATCAACCTCCAGGCAGAGGCAGGATCTCTAATCAGTGAAGGCCCATGGGTCTTCCTTGGATTGCAAAACGCTGTAAAGGTTAGCTTAATCCGTCTCTTGACTCAAATATACTCTCTCTTGTCTTAATTCCATCCACTAAACTCAGTGGGACTGTCTTGTTGCTTCTGGTGCTAAAGTTTTTTGTTTATACAATCCTGCAGGCTTTTAATGTCCAAACCAGTAAAGATTTGCATCTTGACGGGGTGGTTGGTCAGGTGCATGCAATGACTGTTGCAAATGGAATGCTATTTGCTGGAACAAGTGTAAGCATTATAACTTCCATCTCTGTATACATGTTTTTAGTTCTCTGCCTCTTTGATGGATCTAAATTAAGTTCTTTTTCATGATTTTGGAATTGCAGTCTGGCAGTATATCAGTCTGGAAAGCTACTGACTCTGAGTCTGATCCTTTCAAATATCTCACATCTCTCGAGGGACATCATAGTGGTGAAGTTACTTGTTTTGTTGCTGGAGGTCAACTACTATACTCTGGTTCTGTCGATAAAACTATAAAGGTAAGAATCTGGCTTCTACTAATTGATTTCAGCTTTAATCTTATTCTGAAACAACATTCCAATCAATTATGTTTCCTGTGATTCTCCAGGTGTGGGATCTCAACACCCTGCAATGTATTACGACCCTGAAGCAACATATTAACACTGTCACGTCACTCTTATGTTGGGACAAGTGTCTGATATCGTCTTCCTTGGATAAGACCATAAACGTTTGGGCATGTTCTGATAATGGAAGCTTGAAAGTTACTCATACACGCAGACAACAACAGGTAAAGTTTTGTTTTTCACTTATGCCATTCTTCATAACAAATTAACAACTACACTTGGTTTTAACAAAATAAACATTTCTGATTGTTTGGAACAGAGTGTCCATGCTCTTTGTGGGATGCACGATGCAGAGGCCAAACCGATCATATTCTGCTCTTACCAAAATGAAACAGTTGGCATCTTTGACCTACCATCGTAAGTGAAGCTTAACAATCTCCAATTGTATTGTTCTCTAAACTTGAATCAAAACTATTTTTACTAATTCTTCTTGTATCTTTTGGGTTACACACAGTTTTGAAGAAAGAGGAAAGATATTCTCTACGGACACAATCAGCACACTCACAGTTGGTCCTGACGGGTTGCTATTCAGTGGAGACAAGAGTGGGAACTTGCGTGTATGGAGCTTAGCTGCTGGCACCAAAGTTTAGTCATTTTCGACAAATGAATTATGATTTAATTTGTACATAGATTGGTGATAAGAGATAAAGAGAGTTCTCTTTTGTAATGGTTGATAAGAAGAGTCGCAGAATTATCTCTTTTGTAATGACTCAAAAGATAAATTTACTAAATTTAATTTCCAAATCCTTCCTTTAACATAATATCTTCAAACCCCATACTCTCAGAAACTGATGAGCACCAAATTCAAAACACGAGTTTGTAACTCTGCTGAAACTTCAAAGTTTTGTTCTGTAATCAAATTGTTTTTATTTTTCTTTTGAGACTGATGATGATGTGAGGGGAAAAAAATATAGATTTACAAGTAGAAAACACAAATCTATGAAACAGTATAATTTGTTTTTTTTTGGTCTTCAAGAAAGAATGCAAGCAAAACTGGACAGAATAAATATCAACTAAGAATGAGGAAAGAAACACAAATCACACAAACCAATGAGTGAACCTTCTTTACTTGTTGCCTTATTATTCATCGAGCTTTTCCACTTTTGTGTTTATCCAAGTGAGGAAATGCTTGTAGAATGTTATAAGCCCTTAGATCTTGCCTTGTTAAGATTCCTATCACAGGTGACATCTGCAAATACACGAGCCACATTTTGATCAAACTAGGAACAAGTTTAGTAGTGGTCAAGAGAATGAAAAAGAAAACTTACCCCTGAAGCTTGAATCTTGGGAACAACCAACAAATGTCTGAGACCCACTGACCGGAACAGTACCAAAGCCTTTGCCACTGACATACTCTGCACCACTGTGTAAGGTGTAGTGTTGGTCAAAGGATGAAGGTCAACATACAATTGCATCTCTGAACTTGTGATTGCCACATCGTCGAAATTATCTTCTCTCTCAGCCAATTCAACTGGTGTGAACTTTTCCCTAACTTCCCACTCTTCTGTTCTCCTTTTCTCATCCAAGAACCATCTCTTCTTCAGAACTTTAACAAGATGAGCTCTTAAGATCAGACCATGTAGCTCTGTACCAGTGGCTTGGTCTGCTCCATCCAAGACCGGGAATGCGTTATGCGTTGTGTTCCTGAGTACATCGACTATATTTGCGACTTTTTCTACTCCGTTGAGTGTCACAACCGGAGGCTTAGCGTCATTAAGCTCACCTACTGTGAGATTCCTCATCCATGGCTCTGGATTTGCTTCCAAGAAAGGTAAGCCCTTTAGATGGAGAATGATCTCGTAGATACTCAGATTGAAGCTATCTCCAACTGTCTTAGCTATCAAAAGCACAAACATTGTAATGGGCAACAAAAGAAGGTTGTTGGTGAGCTCCAGAAATATAACACAGAGTGAAACAGTCATTCTCATTGAACCAGCCATGAGTGAAGCTGCACCAAGAACTGCGTAAAGACCTTGATCTATGTTTGTGTAAGATCCCATTGCTGTGCCTAGCATCCGACCGTATGCAGAACCCATGAGGATTATCGGTAAGAAGAGACCCGAAGGTGTCGCTATACCGAATGTGATAAGCCCCAAAATGCAGTAGAGGCCAAAGAAGATCCAGAGAGAAACCATACCAAACTCATTAGGAGTGTTGGAAGAGAAAATGTTTCTAACTGCATCATCATTGGTTGTGAGAAGCAGAGTAGATAGATCATTGTAATAACCATTTGGACAATTGAATTGCTTGAAGTTTCCTGATCTTCCATTTGTTGGACAGGTCTCGTCTATAGAAGGATCACAAGGCTTGCATTCCGCTAAGAAAGGAAGACCGAACAAGCAAACCGAGGTGAATAGAGATACCGCAAGACTCAGAAGAACCTTGTGAAGCTTACCCTTCCTACACAAAATTTAACCAAACAATGTTAAGTAGAAACAAATCTTTGTCATTCTTGAATGTTGTCACTGATCATAAACACTTACTGGTTGATGAGATTGTAAAGCCGGAGAATTTTATGCAGAATATGATTGTACAAGCTTCCAAGAATGCCACCAAAGACTCCAATCAATGTGACAGGGATTATATCCGCTGCATGGTACCTAACCTCTACATGACTCACATCAAACATAATGAGTCCTCCTGAGCCAAAAAGCCCGCATTTCCCGGAATTGCAAATCTCAATGAAGGCTCTCAATACAACCACCACAACAGCTGTACTGAAGAATGTCCTCCACAAGAGAGCGCTTCTCCACCACGTAGCAACTTCCTCAAGTGCGAAAAGAACTCCTCCTACTGGTGACCTGAAAGCTGCACATACTCCAGAGGCAGATCCACAGGTAATAAGATCTCTTCGATCTCTATCGTTGTTGAAGTAACGAAGCCATCTCCATTTGATTCTGTGGTTATCTGGACCACCTTGACCAAGCAAAGAAGCAATGCAGCTTCCAATATGAACCAAAGGCCCTTCTTTACCAAGATCAAGTCCAGCTGCAACCGCTCCAATACTTCCAACAATCTAATCAAAAAACCCGCAAAATCCATCAGTCAAAACAAAAGATCTCACATTAACTTTGCCGGAAGATTCAAACTTTAGAAAACAAACCTTAACCATCATGGTGGTAAAACCAAACATATTGGGAGTGTCAATGCCATTAAGATAAGCTTTAATCTCAGGAATCCCTGGACCAGCCGCTGTAGGAGCAAAGCACACAACAAGTACTGTTGCCACCAATGTCAGACCCAAATTCGCACCCGTAAAGACCATCAGACCTGTCCAAAACCTATTTCAAACATAGACTTAGCATACAAGGTAACTCAATTTCTTGATTTTTTTTTGTTCTTTTTCAAGATTATGGCTGACGAGTCAATCACCTATCTTGAGCGATATAGTAGCCAACTGCAAGAAGTTTGTAACCGGCGATGTTTTCGACGGCGAGGTTGATGAGAGTAGCGATGAGACCAGTGAAGAGACCGACAAGACAAGCTAATGTCCATTTTAGAAATATGTATTGAAACACTTGAGTCTTTGATCTACTTCTCCAGTCATGCTTGAACAGATCATTCTCGTTTATTCTGCAGTTAAAAAAAATATATATACAGAATTATTGCAATAGTGGTGCATGTCTCTATCACTGAAGATTTATTTTCAAGTTTTAATAAAAATTGAAGATTATCCGAAAACAGAGTAAATATTAAAACTTTATAATAAAGAGATTTGAGACCAAGACTTATCATACAACTAATAAAACAAAAGGTAACCCAATTTTCTTGATCTTGTTCAAGATTTTGATGATGATTGCTTGCGGCAAATTGAAAATGTGAGATAAAACATTGAACAGTTTATATGTCTCCATCATTAATAATTTCATTCAATTTTTATGTTCTGAAAATCAGAATAAAGATTCTTAAACCTTTACATAAAAAAAAAATATTGTGACCACTAATCCATACAATTTTATTTATTTTCTTAAATAAATATCATCTGAAAACAAAGCAAGATTTAAACCTTATAGAAGTTTCTTTTTCAAAACGAAAATTTATCTGAAAACCATGTAAATATGGAAATTTTCTGGAAATAGATTGAGACAAAAAAAAAATGTATCCAGAGAATTATTTTAAAGTGAAAAATTTATCTGAAAAAGATTGAAAATCAAGAATACTACATCCAACTTCTTAAATAAAAGAAGAAGTAGTGAAATATATGAATCTGATATCAAGATCTGAAAGAAAGATAAAAGAAGACATACTCGTAATCTAAACTCTCGATGTGTGAAACTTTGGCACCGACCAAAGCAAGAGGAGTAGAAGAAAGTGTTCTATGTCTTTTAAGGAGAGGTTGGTTCAAAGCCATGTTGTTCTCTGGATCTGCTTCTTCTTCTTGATCTCCATTGTAATTGCTATTACTAATCTGCAAGTTCCCATCTTCATCCATCGAGATAACTCAAAGAGACAATAGGACCACACTCAGAAAAAGAAGAAGTAGAAGAACAAAAGTAGCAAGGTTTTGGTTAGATCTTAAAGAGTTTTTGATTTGGATTTCTATGAGAGTTTTTGTCGTTTCTTCTAGATGAAGAAGCGCTTTTTGTGAAGCTTTATAGATCTCTCTCTTACATATAGTCACATAAACACATGCATGCATCAACCATTATAATGTATGGTTTGTATAAAAACATATAACATTTTAATTTAGATTTTCTATTTGTTGTGAGGAGGAGTCAAGTCACACAGTGGGTGGATGGGTTCCATATGCGTTTCTCACTAAAGATAAGACAATCATTGGTCTATATTATATTGCCTACTCAAAATAAAAATATATAACCACTAAAAAAAAGGCAAATTACGGCATGATATGTGGCGATTAAAAATTCATATTGGTTTGAATAGGATAGATATCTATTACTCTTTAGCTAATCTTTCGAACATAATACATTTATAAGAAATCTAATTAAAATTCTATATACAACCCTATATATTATCTTTTTGTTATGTGTAGAAAGAAACTACTAGAAATCAACTTTTTTTATAGCTATATATACTATAATTTTACTCGTTTTAATGAATTTATAATGCAGAAAATAAATTTATGATTTTACGTAAGTTGAACAAGAACGGAAAAGAATTAAATTATTATACTACATTAATGTGTTCTTATCCACTAAAAGGGATATAATCCATTTTTTGTTTGTGTGTGTGTGTAGAAGAAATTGACTATTATCTAGCCAACAAATACAAATTACAAGTCGATATGTGATTTTGACGTAAAGTTGAAAGAAGGAAGGAATTCTAATTTCACTTGTATAATAATACTGTTCTAAATCACTTTTATCCACTATTTGTTTTACTTTTTTTTTATATAAAATATATATATATATATATATATTGTCCACTATTGAGGTGAATTAAGAGTGTTGTGGCAGACAAAAAATGGTTAATGTCGATAGTTCCAAATTCTTTGGGGCATGGTGACAACTCTTTCATTACTGGAAATGTGGCATAAGATTTTCACAAGAAGTTTCTCGTTTACACTTTACATTTCTAACATTTCACCCATTTTCATTACAAAGTAATAGAAAGTATTGTGCATATTGCTCATTTACAAAAAAAAAAAAAGTATTGTACATATTGCATAATCACAATTTCTATTATAGAAATCATCAGTGTTTATGACATTTTCTTTTTCCCTAGAAAACACTTTTACACTGTTTATGACAGCATACAGTATTATCATTAAAAATATATGTAGACAACTAGACAATCATATTGTATGATTGTATTCACATATGCTATTCAAGCAAATAGATCTTATAACAAAGACCATTTTCCTAAATTTATCTAACATAAGTTATTTAATTTATCAAATATATATGAGCATCATTCATCAATAATTGAAAAGTAAAAAGATTATACATATAACAAATTTTCATGAAGTTCTTGCACAAGACCAACCAATCCAACGCTCCCATACTTTTCTTTTTTTGGATCGACAAAGACGGTTTGCATGTGGATCTCCAAGGCACCACCATAGACAAAATCTTTTTCTGTTTTCATTTATAAATTAATGATATTCAAACATGCATCGTCCATAAATAAATCATACAATTTGCACTAGAGGACATAAACAATACTTTGTTTTGGTTGCTTGTGTACACATGGTAGTTAACCCCAAAAAAAGAAAAAAAAAGAAAAGAAAAGAATTCGACAATCTTCTCCTAGTTTCCAATTCCTTTTTCATTTTAATTATGGTATTACACGTTACCCAAATAAGTAGCTTCTCTTAATGTGAAATAATAAAAGCAAATGACAAAAATAAGATTTCGTAATATCTTTTTTTCTATAAATTCGTAAACTATAAATATCCATAGAGGGATATATCAGGGATGAGCCAATTTGGTTGCGTACAGACCAAGTGACCAATATATGTTCTGTTAAACAGGACAACTCAGCCATTACATCTGACAGATCAGCAGAAACCTTTGTGACCAATAAGATCTAAACACGTATACTAAATCAACACTCGTTCGATCATGACAAGATCCAACGTTCAGAATAATTCCGACCTTTGAGATAATCTGAAAGCCACTTTTAAAATTAATTTCTCTCTTGTACGAATATTTTATATCTCTAATCATTTATTCTCCAAACACGTGATTTAAAATATTTTGCGGTCCCTTAACGTCCAATTGTAAATAAATTATTTGACCATGTCAAAAAGAAAATATAATATATTTTTCTTTTCGTAAACAAGTATCGACTAATCACTTTGATGGGTTTAATTCGTTTTAAGTCCGGATACATTATTAACCTTTTAATATTATTATATGATTCTTTGTTTTTTTTTTTGTTTTCGTAAAAATATGATTTTTTTTGTTTAATACATCGTTGTCAAATATTATTTGGTTCTTGTAGATATACGTATGTGAAACGGATAGAGATTGGAATATCTCATAACTAAAATATGAAAAATATACGAAACATATATCACATCTATATAAAAGTAGGAGTGGCAAAACACATAAATATTCGAATTATCAATTATGAGAAAGCCATTGTTTTTAGTTACATTTGTAGATTTTACCATTTTAAAATACTTTAGATTTCAAGATTTAAACACACGTTTTTAATTATGAAAAAAAACTTCTCAAAATGTGTAAATGGCAAAAGAATGACAAGTTTAAATTATTTGAAGCAAGATAAACAAATCCAAAAATATTGAGCCAAATATTGCATATTCTATAATAATCGCTAAATATACAATCCAACAAAAAAAGAACTGAAAACTATACTATACGAGAAAGGTATACTATGAGATCAACTATTAGGTTTTTTGGTAATTCAACTAGGATATATACATAATAAGACAATTCAAGATTACAAAAAGTATACAAATTCGAAAACTCTAGTTAACTGATATATAAAAAAGAAAAGTCTTGGTTAGAAAATAACTATGAAATTAATGAATAATCGAGCCAACCAAATAAATGTGTTGTACATAAGTTTTGGTGAGAGGAATGGGGACAATACAGAAAGAAGCTACACACACACACACACGTGGCGACTGTGAAAACCATGTGATCCATATGTGTAGAGTCCCTATTCGACGACGACCTTCTTGATCAGATCTAAATCCAACTGGCTGGTCTCTTGAATGGAACACGTATCTAGTCATATGCTTCATGTGAGTTTTGTTTTTCTTTTTTGCTTTTTTTATTTATTTAATTTTTGAGTTCTTTCCCCTCATGATTGAGCTGAGCAGAGATGATGAAAAGAAAAAAGATTACTGACCGTCACAACATAAATACACTTATAGTTACAAATATAAATTATATATTAGAAAACACAAGTTAAACAAAATGCTTTTGATCAATTTGTTCGGACCAAACAGTATTGAACTAAGATATGTATATACAAACCAAACAGAAACAATATTAGAACATTGTAAGAGCTCTCGCAACATGATAAATGTTGAACGAACCAGTCACAGAAGTAGTAAAAGATACATTGAAAACATATAATCAAAACATTAACATGTCATGTGCAATGATTTTTTTGTTGTGGAACAAATCCGCCGATCTTAATAAACCAACATGCATGTTTCTGTATATATTCCGGAAAAAAAAAATGCTAGGTTGGATTGTTAGTTAACGTGACAAATTTATTTTATAAGTTTAATCAATGCGAAATTAAAGCGTAACAACAACGTATGATCAAATTCATGAGTTTAATTACAAACACTTATTAATAGAGATTTTATATGAATGATGAATAAGAAGTCTTTTTCATGCAAAATGCGGTATTAAAATAATTAGATATCGAGATTTGCATATTTTTTTTTTTCTTTTGAGTATGAAGTTAGGCAAAGATATTGACGATTTTAATATTTGGGAAAAAAAAAAAAAAAAAGATATGGTAATATTGAACACGGTGTCGACTCACCGCACCGCCTATGGCCGACCAGATGCGTACACACACTCTTTTATATGTTTTGTTATGTAATTCCTCGACTTTGGGGTTGATACTTGATAGTGACCAAAATGATTTTAAAACACATGAATACTATTTGTTAAGAATTTGATGAATTAGAAAAACATTAGGCAATAAAGATTTTATTTAAGGATTAGGTAGTTTTGGTTTATCAGAATCTGCAAGAGAGTGGACCAGTTTTTTTGAGTCTTCGGATCATACTACCCAATTTCTTTTCCCCAATAATATGATTAATTAATTAATAATTCACGATAATAGTGTGTTGAGAAAACTTGATATATTGTCATGGCATTGACAATACTTGAGATGCATATGCACTCAATCAGAATGTATAAAATAATCAAATGGTTTGAGGTTTATTTGTAAAATTTATATATGGGTGACAAAAGTTTAAATAACTGAAAATGTGATTTTACGCATTGTTTATAATAATTGTTCATTTAAAATATACACAAATTTCACACTATTTTCTTAAAACATATGTGATCATATCATACACTATCCACTTATTCATGATTTTGCCATCTTTTCATGTTTTCAAATAATCATCCCACACATATGGTCAAATTTTAAAGAAAGTTGAAATATAAGAAATAATTTTCTAATATTCATCTGTTTTCTTCTTTTCTTTCTTTTACAAATGATATAATAAAATATACAATGTTACAAGAAAACGAACCTATATTTTTAGTATATATAGTTGGAGCACCAATTTTGATAGCTTACTTGTTTTTAATTTGTGTGTGCAAAAGCTTACTTGGTTTCAAGAACTCTTTTTGGGAGGGGATTTGAGTCTTTGTTAGTTCGTTTTTTTCTAAGGGATAATATATATGTTTTAATACTTTAGTCAACATTGTTATAGAAAGAAAAAAAGTGTATATTCGTAAGACTAAGATATCAAAAACTCAAAGTTGGATTAAAGAAACAAAAGGTCGAAGTCGAACATTTTAAAAGAAAACGAATACGTTCAACATTATATATATTGTTACATCGATATCCCATTTCTGATGTGTCAAATCTTATCAACATATTTTTCATTGCTTATTTGGTTTAGCAAACCAATTTTTAATAATCAAACCGGTTTCAATATTTCGGTTTCAATTACAAATGATTGGTTTTGCTTCCCCTATTGGATATTTGTGAAATGCCATATGTCACTTTCTCTATTATATATTGCAAGATGTAATTTATATAAACATAAGAAAGACATTCTGATGGGTGTTTGCAATCTTAATTAGGGTGAGAATAGTCAACCATCTTTAAAACTTTTGTAAGTAATTCAATATGTACTTGGAAAAAAATCTGAAAATCAGGAAACCAATAATAAAAAATGGAAGTAAAATTTAGATAAAAATATCTCTTGTAAAAATCTATAATTGAGTCAAAAACAAAAGTTATTTGGGTAATAAATTCTGAAAAGGTGCAAAATGCATTAATTTGACATAAAAGATAGTATCCCAAATTTCCAATAATGTAAAATCTAACCATTTATTTACTTTACAAATATGGATTTGGAAGCAAAAGGAAAATGCTTAATTATAATCAGATTCTGCTGCATGAACCCCTTCTTCTCTATTCAATCTATCCATCATAGTATAATCACCATGAATGCACAAATATAACAAAAGAACATATTCTAAGATTGTGCAGTCTAAACTCAGAAGAACAAAAATGCAGATTGTAAGGATAGTGAAGTTACCATACCTTCTCATATGTTTCCTTCTCTTCATCATCCTTTGGTTGTTGTCACATCCCTCTTGTGCTCCATACATGAATTCTATCAGAGGAACACAATTCTCGCATCTTCAACCTGTAAGATCAAAGATTACTATCCCATTAGGTATAATGCTAATTTAATTTTATTCAATAACATTATTGATAGATTTTGTATTTCCTCGTGGTCATAGGAATCTTCAAGCTTATCGAGACTAGTCAAAGAAATAGCTACAGAAGACAAGATGGTGATTATTACCATGGTGGATCGAGAATGGGCAAAACCTGACTCTATTCTTGATCTGTTCCTTGAGAGTATTCGGATTGGAGAAAGAACCAAATACTTGCTGAACCATTTGATCGTTGTTGCTTTAGATGATCAAGCTCTTCGATATTGTCTTCGTGCCCACCCTCATTGCTACCTTCATAGAGGTTATAGAAAAAACTCGGAATCTTTGAATCCGGATGGTCTTGTTACCGGTTGGAGCAAGAAGTATTTGGTTAAAGAGATTCTTGAACTCGGTTACAACATAATGTTCACAGTAAGTTAATTCTCTACAAGAAAACATCATGAATTACTACGAAAATTTTGGTAGGAAAATTACATAAAACACTGATTAATATAAGATTTGGTCTGAAAATATGGTTCTAGGAGGCAGATGTGATATGGCTAAGCAATCCAATATTGCATTGCAACCCACTAGATCCAATCCAAGTGGCTTGCGGGATCTCACCGAGTGATCATTTAACAGTGGAAAACACAGGAGGTTTCTTCTATGCCAAGTCTAATTACGTAACCATACACTTGTTCAAGACCTTGGACGTAGAGAGGGTTGTGTATCCCGCAACTGGAAACCAATCCTTGTGTGACATTGTCAAGCGCCAAGATGTAATCCAGAACCTTAGTATGAAAGTAACCTTCTTGGATGATGCTAACTTTGGCAGGTTTTGTCAACCAAATAATTCACAAGATCGAAGCAAGATAAGTACAGTCCATGCAAGTTGTTGTAATGATACAAAGAGTAAAGTGCATTACCTAAAGCTTATACTCCAAGACCGGAAAAAAATGAATCCGCAATGGATCATTCCAAGCCAATGCAGAGGATTTCATCCGCTATAAACATTTTTAACATATGTAACCAAAAAAAAAAACTATTTACCAAAAACACATTTCTGTCAATGCATGTGTTTGTGAAAATCATCTATACGACAACATGGGAGTAACTTACTTGGGCTGACTTTAGCGAAAGCCCACAAGGCCCACTAAAGCCCTTTTTAGCATTAATTAAAAAACATAAAATTAAAATTACAACCGTAACGTACGTGTGATTTCATTTCCATTTGGATCGTCCAACATCAGAGAATGAACAATGTCGGGACGCAAATCAAAAGAATGCAAACCTAACTCGCATAGTTCGATAATCCATCTGCTAGACAATTAGTTTCCCTATACACGTGAGAAATCCGGACCAACCAGTTCCTTGAAAAAAAGTCATGGCATAGCCGTACCAGGAACACTAGCGGATGGGCTGTATTAATCGAAGATTTTAAAAGCCCAACTACTAACTCAGAGTCCAACTCCAACTCCACCCGACAAAAACCTTGATCCCAGGCGAATAGCAGGCCATAATAAGCTCCCCAAAACTCCCCCATAGGAGCCGAACACTCCCCTATATTAAGTGCAAAGCCTCCAAGCCACACACTGTTCCCGTCTCGAATAACCCCTCGTGCGGTCGGCAACCCCGGATTTCCCCTTGACGCTCCATCTGTCGATATCTTTACCCATTCCACCAACGACTTCTCCCACTTAACCATTTGTACGGTCCAGTGTGCCGTTAACGGGCGACCATGAACCTGCTCATGTCCCCGTGTCACCTCCCCTGCCAAATCCTTCAAAAATTTGATCCGATCCCGACACGTCCTTCTCTCCCCAAAGACATCACTACATCTCCATTTCCACCTCCACCAAACAGCAACACTAAACAGTTTGCCCATCTCATCCTCATTATAACCTGAACCCAGATGTTCAAACATCCACTCAAGTAAAGATTGAGCAAAAAACACAGTCAGCCTCCGTCGGGGTACTAACCGCCGCCAAATCCCTGCCATGGCGGGGCAATCCCGCAGAATATGAATTATTACTTTTAGAGTGACACGACTTATGATTTTATTTGCCTTCCTTAAAATTTCGTTGTGACCGAAGAAGATTTTTGTTTTGTTTGTTTTTGCAGTTTTAGTAAGAATGCAAAGCTAATTGCCAATCAACAAAAGTCTATCTCCATTGTCCAATTAACTTAAACGCCACACCCCAGCCTAAAGGAACATTTGCAATCACAAGTGCAACACCAAGTTTCTTCCATATGTTTGTGTTTATAATTATATCGTAAACCCGAACCTCATTTGAAAATGCTTCAAGCAAGTAAAGGTTGTTGTTGGTCTCTGCAGTGAGGAGCGGTGACTGTGAAGGCATGAACGTCATGCTTTCAGGCATGCTTGGGATGAGTGTCCAAGAATTTGTCACCTCATCATAGCATTCTCCACAAGTAAGGTATTCATTATTCACATTTCTACTGCCAATCACGTGAACTTACCGCACAAGAAACAACCTGAGTCGAATTTGCGTTTATTATGCATTTCCGAATCGTAGACCAAATTTTGGTGTGAGCATTTTATATTTCTATACATTTCTTAAAACTTTGAGAATCAAATTCCCATTTACTTTTATACCGCTGACAAAATAAGTATTAAACTCATAGCTCGTGACAACGTACATGCAACATGGTGTGGTCTGTGGTCATTGCAGGACCTTTACCCAATGATGCATCTTTAGCTCGTAACGCCACATTATCATGTCTCTCAGCTCTTTTCCAGTGACGATCAAATGTGTACCCGCACAAATTGTTTCTTAATCACTAAGAGAGAAGAAAACGTTAGACGGAATTCTTGGAAGTTTCTCAAAATTCTCAAATTTTTAATGAAACATCATCCATCAAGTGTCACCACTAGTTAGCATAAACATGTGAGGTTCCACGATCCCGCATTCTCGCCATCTTAAACATATCATAGCTTTTTAGTAGTTGTAAAATTTAATTGATGAGACGTTTTTGTCATTATGTCGACCACTAAGTGGAAAGCACAACGTCTCAAGCATCAATATTTACAATTGCCAAAAAGGTATGATATGTTTAAGATGAGACGAGAATCCGGGAACGTGGAACCATACATGTTTATGTTGATGAGCGGTGACACTTGTTGGACAATGTTTGATAAAAATTGAGAATTATGAGAAACTTCCAAGAATTTCGTCCAAAGTTTGCTTCTCTCTTAGTAATAAATAAACAATTTGTGTGGGTACACATTTGATCGTCATTGGAAAAAGCTGAGAGGCATGGAAGTTTGGCGTTACAAGCTAGAGACGCATCATTGGGTAAAGGTCTACAATCACCACATCACGTTTCATGTACGCTTCCACTAGCTATGAGTTTGATGCTTATTTTTTCGGCAACATAAAATTTATTGGGAATTGGATTCCTGAAGTTTTAGGAAGTGTAGAGAAATACAATGCTCACACCAAAATATGGTCAACGATTCGGGAAATGCATAAGAGAAGAAAATCCATCTCAGGATATTTCTTGCGGGGCAAGTTTTACGTGATTAACGGTAGAAATGACCATGATGAATACCTTACTTATGGAGAATGCTACGATGAGGTAACAGATTCATGGACACTCATCCCAAAAATGCTTGAAAGCATGATGTTCATGCCTTCCCAGTCGCCACCCCTCATTGTAGTGGCCAACAAAAACCTTTAGTCGTTTGTAGCATTTTTAAACCAAGTGCTAATATCTCAATTGGTAAAGATCTCTAGAAAAAGCTTAGAGTTCGCCGGTTCGAGTACCGTTTGGGTCAATACCATATAACATGCTCTGGTCTCAGACCTGAGGGGGTGGGTTTTGACCCGGAACCTCTTTGATTATTCAAAAAAAAAAATGAGGTCCAAGTTTATGATATAAACACAAACTCTATTATAAAGTAACATTTGCTCTAAAGCTACTATATATCTTATCTTACTCTAAAATAGAGTAAATGATAAGATTACTCAATATTTAGAGTAACTCTACTCTATTTTCTTACACTAATTTTATTTTAGAGTAAGAAATAGAGTGATACATTAAAGAAAAATGATGCTCTAATTTAGAGGTACTCTATTTTCGAGTAAAAAATAAAGATTTACATTGGAGATGGTCTAAGAACCTATGGTGGGTTTTTAAGAAAAACCATCTCCAATGGTAGAACACATGAGGGGTTGTGATACCCCGGTTTCAGGAAACGCGGACAGGTTTACAAGAATTAATTTGGCTACATATGTCAAAGGTTTTAAGAGAACTCTATAATTAATAGTGCTTATGCCGGAGTAGTCTAAAGATAGGTGACATTCTAAAAAGTGGTTATCGGAACTGTACGCGTGAGAATTAAACATGGGGAAAGATCATGGGTGGACTCACATACTAGGATTGGACATGGAGCCAACTAAGAGAGATGGGCCCATGGAGTGGGAGTGGACATGGAGTGGGAGTGGACATGGAGCCCATTAAGAGAGATGATGGTCAGAGCGTTACAAGGGTTCTTAAGATTATTTTTTTTTCTTCAAAATAATTGATGTTTGGTGTAATTGGTGTTTGGACAGTTCATAAACACATCAAAAACTGTTAGATGCAAAATAGAGATTTATGATCTACTCGTGAATATATAAGTTTTGCACACTAAGCTAATAACAACCAAGATAATTATAAACTATAGATTTCCAAAGGCCTAGAAACGGGCAAGTTGTTCGATAGTACATTAACGGGTCATTCATGATCTCTATTAACTCAAAGCATAATTATTTCGAACCTGATTATGATCATCTCCACTGAAAGAAGCGCCATCGTAGTAGGGAAGCTTAACTATATTCCAGGTCTACATAAGAAAAGCACATGACGATGAAAATCAGTGAATTTCAAAACTTCTTGCATGTACAAAATTTAAACGAAGATTAAGATGAAACCATGATTTTCTTGAGCTTTATCACTAAGGATTCCTGTAAACTGATGCTGCTTCTCCATATAGTTAGAGAAACCATGTCGAGTCTTCTTTTGGTATACACATGTTATAATGTTGTTGCACCATCCTCCTTCATGTTTCAAAAACATTAAATATTCAAAGAAAAAATTTAAATTAATGCTTTCATCTAGAAAAAATCTTTCACTAAAACCTCCAATTGAATAAGCCAGATATTAGCTATTAGCTCCAGATCCATGTCCACGGTGCAAGTGGCATCCAAGTAATATTCCGTCCAAAAAAACTGTGAACAAACACACATAAATATGTAAAGGCTCAAACATAACTAGTTTCAAACATTCTTTACACAAATACACTGCTTCTACCAAATCATTTCTTTGTGATCATGTGATCAAAGTGAGAAACATAGGTTATGCAGGGACAAAAACTAAAAAATAGTGTAATCAAAAGTGTTTACATCAAAGCCCAATGGTTAGGTGCCTTTCAAAACTGATTGACACTAGAAAGAAATTTAAGAAATACAGAAGCCTTCAAACTAAGTGGAAAACCATGCTCTTTCACTCAGACAGTTCATTCTTAAGCTAAGCGATCAGGAAATTACGCATTTTCAGGATATGAATGAAGACCAGTAATGAGTAATTGAGAAACCATACCAAACTATCACTCATTACATATACATATAGATCTAAATCTCAGCTTCATTTCTCAAAACACATAAAAATCTATAAATCTGAAACATTCAATTCTTATCAAATGTTCAAAATTTCTTAGGATATTGGGTTTTCCAAAGGGATAGTATAAATCTCAATTAAAAAGGAAGGATCTTTAATAACCCAAATACCTCAACCCACAAATGATTGAATTAAGAGATGAAAAGGATTTTAATTACCGGAGACAACGAGTTGGTGTTTCAGCTTTAGATTGTGGAGACAATAAAAGAGAACCTTGAAGCATTTGAATCGGAAATCAAAGGTGAGAGAGAGAGAGAGATAGAGAGAGAGAGAGAGATATATATATATATATATATATAGAGAGAGAGAGAGAGAGAGGAGAGAGAGA